AAGAGGGGAAGGAAAATACACATCCATCCATGGTGTGCATTCAGCTGTGATCATGAAAATACTGACTTATTGTTTGAAATCATGTAAAGCAAGAACCTGCATTAAGAAAGCAGAGCTAAGCAAACAGACCCGGGACCCAGATCTGCTGACACCCAGTGCTATCCTGAGCCCGCCGCAGAACATTAGCCAAGCCGTTGTTCTCTAAGAATTCTGCACAATGCAAATGGGCATGAGGGGGAAAAAATACTACTGGGAAACTTCTAGTTCTTGCTGAAAAAGAAAAATTTGAGCTCTAAATCCAGCACTCCCAAGCAAGAGAGGCATCTGCGGCTGCATATAAAGCTGGTACTCCTTTGCTTGAACAAAATCACTCAGTATACAGTACTTAAAATAAACAAAGCTCAAAACAGTCAGCTACACACGCATGTTTTTTGCCACATGCTGTCTGAAGAAAATAGCTATGCAGTGAGCATGCCCCAGTTTAAGCCAAGCCTGCAACACTGCACTCAGTCTCCTTCCTGTACCCGGCTCCTTTTCTAGACAGAAATACATTTCCCTTTCATGTAGAAGTGAGAAAGAAATATGTTTAAAAGACAGTCCAGGCCCTTTATAAAAGCACTTACTTTGAAAGAACAGGACAAATTGTGTACTCAAAACAAAAGCACCTTCTTAAAGAGCAGGCTCAGAAGTTGTTCAATGGCCCGGGCCTTGATTTGTGCTGGCGGCGCGGGTCCCGCCGGGCACGGTTAACGGGAAGGCTCGCAGCCTGCCCGGCGCGGTCCTCAAGGGCTGCTGCGTCAGGATGACGCTCCGGAACAGTTACTGGGACAGGCTGTGAGCAAGTCAGCAGGACAGTTTTATTTCTGTGCTGAGACTGCTGCTTCCTGCCGGGAAAATACTGGTGGCAGAATTACACCCAGGGATCGGCAGCAGCCAGGCTCTCAGATGACTCTGCTGGGGGTGGGGACGGCGCGGTGTCCCGCACCGGCACCTGCGGGGCAAAGGGCATGCGGCCCCTGAAGGAGACTCGCCCGGGCTATTGGTCTCCTCCTGCTGGCTTCTTGACCTGCCAAGGGCATGACTCAGCTCGCCCACGGCAGCGCCGGGCCACACTATTTATCTGCTAAAGCCCAGGGAAGCTGTCCAGGCAGCGGCTGGAGAAGAGCCGGGGAGGGGGAGGCCGCGGCGGCCCCTAATTCAGTGAGGTCTGGACTCGTGGCTCACACGCAGGGAGGCCCATCGCCTGTCTCTCCAGGGCTTATCGGGACACAGTGGGTCAGGGCCTGGGAACCCGAATACTATGAGGAGGAGGAGGAGGACGAGGAGGAAAGCAGTCAGCCTTTCAACTGAGGTCCCAAATCAATAAGTGCAGGAGATTAATGATGTTCTGATTTTCTGTGGTGTCAGGATAACAAATTGTGGGGTTAGTTTAAAGACTTCTGATGACTTTATCAATTTATGTCTTGATGACACTATAACCAAAAAGCAAAGCAGAGATATGGTGGCTGTTTAGTGAAGCCGGCTGTGGGCTTCGGATGCCCCGGGATCGCCACCTCTATCCGCTCATACGTTCCAGACACAGGACGCAGCTAGACCAAGGGCGTGCTATATGGGGTAAGGTGTGGGAGAAGCTTGGGATCATTTCAGTTTGCAAGATTTAGGCAGGAGCACAAAATTCTGGAGCCACAGACTTCCTTCATTGGGTAGAGTTTGGGGTCAAGGGGAACAAAGTGACAAGGCCCATTCTGTGTCAGCAGAGGGGTGTGCAGGCTCCAGCAGACACCAGGCCACGTGCAGCCCCTGGCATCCCTGAGCCCCGCCACCGCTGGGTGACCTCGGTTGATACACAACCTCTCTGGGCTTCAGTTTCTACATGAGAAGATTTTCTGATCCCTCAAATCTTAGCGCCCTAGTCTTCCAAGTCCCACCACCTAACGCATGCCCTCAACAGAAAGAAATCAAACAAGCCAAGTTTTTCTCCCTGTTTCTTCTATTCATCCTCCCTTCATCGCTCTACCTAAGGCACTGAACTCCTGCAAAGGACCACACCTTGGTGCTACCTCCCTGCTCTAGCTGCCGCTGGCCAAACTCTGAAAGGCCCAGCGGGACTGACTTTCTAAAGTCTTTGGAGAGTGTGGCAGACGTGAGCTGAGCTGCTTAGATTCCCGTTTAAGAAAGACTCCCTGCCCAGCTGCGAGGAAGCTGGCAGCTGACAGCCCCCAGCCGCCAAGTCCTCCAGGTCCACCTCCGTTTGGAGTGGTGTTCACAGTCTGCTCAGGGTGCCCAGGCCTGAGACGGAGCCAGGGGGGGTCTCTGAACAGGCAGTCTTTGCTCCCGAGGGCCCTGTGGGCCGGCAGAGGCTCTACCAGGCTGCAGCCTTTGCACAATTCTCCTTCCTCCCTTTCTCTTTCACAGGCATTACTTCTCTCCTGCCGTCCCAGGGACCCGCGGACACGGAGATGCCAGTCATGGTAATGCGTATGTTCTAATGTTTTGGGTTTTTTTCCTCCACAAAGGACCTTTGACAGGCTTCAGAAAACCATATTTGAGCAACAAGATACTTGTCTTTGTGGCATAAAGGTCTGCTGCACAGATTTCTTTTCCATTCTCTGACTCACAGACACAGGGGGGTTTAGTTCCAACTGTTTCAGCCAATGGTCTTCAACCAAGGGAGCATCTCAGAATCACCTCGTTTGATCTGTTAAGTGCCCAGGCTTCACGTGCAGACCTGGACTTGGTGGCTTGAGATGCACCCCTGGGTGAGAACCAGTGGCTGTAGCATGAAATCTCCCCTGTTTGGGCCTCTTCCAGAGATGAACATTCATCCTGCTGATGTTCATTCCAGAAGCTGAAAAGTATACATACATTACATACATTAAATGCTCTATTAAATAATCCCCAGTTTATTTCTAGATATTTTTATAAGCCTAGCTAGTAATGCTGCAGACTCATTTCAGAGCATGGTGAGTCTTCTTAGAAAACATTATAGGAAGATTTAGGATTGTTTGGGATTGTTTTCAATTTTGAAGATTTAAGCAAAAACTCAAAAGTTATGGGACCATAGATTTCCATTACCATGTAGGGTTTGGGGCAAGAAGTTTTGCATTTACCTTCCATAGAAACTAGAAATAAGGTTGTGATATCCTGTTCTTTTAGGTGTCCAGTGTCATTGTGCAGGAGGCTGACGTCATGCTCATATCAGCTGGGCTCCCAGTCTTCTCTCTCATGTCGCTCGGTGAGAGCTCACTCACGTGAGTGTCAAGGGAGTGTATTCAGCCATCGTCTTTCCTGGATCACTGAACAGAAGCCCCTGTGATGGTCTGTGTGCACACTGGGCTTTGCTGTTAGGTTCCAGCAGTTTTATTTCAAGGCAAAGCTTGCATCTGAAGTTGCCATGAGCTGAGATTCTCTAGGACCGAGACACCCTCACTTCTCAAGCACACTAGTTTTGGAAAGAAGAAAGGGGGAACCATTCTCCCTGAATGTGAAATGCACCCAAAAGGAAATATTTGAATTTAAAAAAGACTTCTCACTATATTTTTACAGCCAACGAGAAAACACAGAGAAGTCCAAGGGGAATGTAAAGAGATTGGAACACTGTGAAAACTTCCTCTTAGTAAAAGTTAAGCCTTGCCCAAAGGGGGAAGACTGGAGGGTGGAGTAGCAGAATGAACTAGAAACACAGGCTGTGCTGAGCTCTGACATGTGAAAATGTTCCAGAGGAAGCGGCTCCTGAGAGCAATGCAAACTGGGGTGCTCAGTGAGAAAAAGGAACTTAAAGTTAGTATCCCCTCTGCTGAGACTGTCCCTGGACATCTGGCTGCATGGGATTGAGTACTAATTTAATGCCTCCTGGATCCAACACATAATATGCTCATTCTTTAAGTGCGTTACTCAGAACTTACTAATTAAGAAGGTTGCCCCCTGCATGAGCACGTGGCAGAGGAGAAGTTGCCTCTGCAGGTGAGCGTGGCCTCCCCGTCCCGCCTGTTCACGAGTACTGAGATGCTCATTGAACATCTTGGGGCTTCGCTCTCCTTCCTGCAGGGTCATTTCAAGGATTAGCTGACTACGCATGTGGATATGCCTAGTAAATTTGAGAAGCATTATGCCAATGTGAGCTTTTTTTTTGTTTTTTTAAATAAAATCCTCTCTTAAGGATTGGCTGAGTGAGTATTACCAGAGCAGCACAGGGCCCAGTGGATGGAGACTGCGGCTCAGACGGGCAGACTGTGGTTAGAGTCTCTGCTCCCCACTTAACTACTGGGAGACTTGGGAGCGATTACTCAGCCTTCTCTGATCTAGTTCCCTCATACACCAAATGGGGACAGTGATCATACCTACCTCTCGGGAGAGGGGCTCACGCAGAAGCATTCAGCACAAACCATGACACACAGTGCCCAGTAAATGCAAACTGTGATTACTATAAACCAGGGCTGTCACCAATGGTGGTAAAACCATGAAACAGAGGGAGGAGGGGACTTGGCAGGAAGTCTGAGTGGGCTGGTAGAAAGCTCTTCCAGGGAGAGCCACCCCGCTGCAAGAGGCCCGTTCTAACGACGGCAACCTCCCAGAGGACTGGCCGGACTCTGAGGCAGGAGGAGCAATCGTTGCTCTGGTCTCAAGGCGTGTTTCCATGTGCCCACATTAACTGGAAAGTAATTACCCACGGCCCAGCAGGGCTCTCCGCTGTAATTTTGGAAGTATCATCACAGTGTGTTTGTTTCCAGGTACAAATTCACTTGTGACAGAGGTACGATCACATCACACAAGAGGCACTTGACATGCAAAGAACATATCTCAAAATGGAGCACAGTCGGGTTCTGGGGTGGATGCAGGTGGTAGGGAGGGGAGGGTGATGGGTCTCAAATGTCAGGACAGCACTTGAGAAAATTCCTGGGCTGGGCAACGCTCTGGGCCAAGGAACATTCCATTATGAGTGGAGAGGGTTATAATGGAATGACACGGATGGTTTCTTATAATCAGAAAAGCACACTGACCTTCACACTACACAGGTGCAGCAGCATAATGACCCACCACGTGTGCGCGCATCAATTCCTGGGGAAAAGTCCAACGAGGTTAACTCAGCGTGCATCCCAAGCAAACAGAATCAGTGACATTACCCACACAGAGAACGTTGCTCCCCCACCCGACCAGGATGCCCGGCTTCGGAAGGGAAACATGGCAAGAGGCTCATACTCATTTTGATAAAGGGCACGAAGAGTAGGAGCAACATGATTCTACGCCATAAATAATTTGATTTGGATTTCAAAATTTAACTTTTAAGGAGTGAGAATCATGGGCCTAGAAAAAAATGGTTAATTTTTTTTTTCCCTTTTCAAGAAACGAGGACTTGATGCAGGGGGTGTAGGGGGAAAGGGAAGTTCTGCTCCCCCCGCTGTCTGAGGAAACTACCTGAAAGCATCCTCAGATATGCTGCACTCATTGGACCCCCTCACCCCAAAGGAAGGGGATCTGTGATGAAACTGCTGAAAATATCACAGCGTCTTTCCTCACTGGTGCATTCGCTCAGATGGGAAAGACACGAGGGGGTGCATCTCCTTGTATGTGTTGTCCAGAAGAGACTTTATTGCCCCCCAAAGGCAATCGACTTGGTATCACTAGTCACACTACTGAAACTGTAGTCGGGAACTCCCGTGTCCAAAATTAGCATAAAGGACTTGAACAGAGAGATACCAGGTGTGGGAACACTGCAAATGGCATCTCTCAAGGCCCTCTGAATTGGGTATTGTTTTGGTTTAAGAGTCTTTAATCTGATTTTATGAGCTCATCTTCCTTGAAGTTAAAGTTGCCATGAAAGTAATCAATATGGCCTTATTCCAGAAAAAAGCAGTATATGTCAGCATTCCCAAACCCGATGCAACCTGAAGCTTTGCTGACAGATGAGTTCGTGGAAGAAACAAGTAGCAAGCTTGCATTCTGGGTGCACAGATTATGTTCTCCGCCCTGGTTGGAGCAGATTTGAACAGGAGAGAGAGAGAGAATTCAACATCCACGCACTAAGATCCTGCTCTGAGTCCAACACTGCTGGGAGCGCCTGGACTTCTCAGCAGTGATGGATGCTGAACAACACTCCCTTCCTCTCCTCTCCCTGTTGCGGCCACTGGTTTCCCAGCTGCTTCTTCGGCCGCCCCAGTCTGCTGCCTTTGCAGGCGCCTCTGCACTTGCCTTTTCCACGTTGGAGGTCCTCAGATGCTCATATATTCACACTAGGGGCCAGGATTCCCGCCCATGGCTTCAGTTACCATCTGAGCATTGACGCCTCCCAAATTTCTGTGATCACTCAGAGCGCTCATCTGAAGTCCAAACCCAGTCCTCATCCACTGGGACATCTCACTGCCACTCCTAACAGGGTGCAAACTAACCTGGGATCTTTCTCCTCAAGCCTGATCCTCTCTCCAAAAGCCCAGCCTCAGTCATGGTTCCTGCACCTACCCACCTAGAGCTCCCTGTCAGGAACCTGGAAATCCTGCTCAATCCTCTTTCTCCCCGAGACCAGCCTTTTTGTCCAACCAAGCGCCAAGTTCACTGGCTCCTACCTCTTAACGGTGCTAGAATCCATCTGCTTCCTGCCATTTCTACCTCCCCCACCATGGTCTAAGCCTCTCTCTCCTACTCAACTTCAGTAGATCCTAACTAGTCTCCCCAGCCCCATGCTTGCCACAATTACATTCTCTACAATGGACAGAATGCTTTATTTTAAAAAAAGGGGGAAAAAAGGTGAAATCTGCTTGTGGCCCTTCCTTGCGTTAGTGGTGCTACACTTCCTTTAGGCTAAAGGTCTAAGTACCAGTTTGAGATTTATTTCAAACAAACTTGCAAAATGGATCTGGCCCTCTCTTCTCCCCCACCTCACTGCTGCCTCCCTCCTCCCTGCTTGTGACACCTGGCCACTCCGGGAATCTTAGTCTACACAGGCTCTCGCCTCTCCCTTCCTAGGAGACTTCAGCACACTGTTCCCTCAGCCTTCCCTGTGCTCCCTCCACCCCTGCAACAGAGACCCCAAGAATAGGACCCTGAAGTTATTTTCATGGTTTTAAAAATAACTCTAAAGAACTATTTCTGTGATTATTTGTTTAATGTCTGTCTTGCAAAACTGACTCAGATTTTCTGGAGGCGGGGGCTGTCATCCTCAGCACTTAGCACAGAGCCTGGTACATGGGCACGCTCACTACGTTCAGTGAGAATTTGATGAATGATCAGGACTGTCTAAGTCCCAAGGAACACATAGTCTAGACTTTAGAAGACATAAAAGAAGACTTTTTTTTTTTTGCATCTGGCCTCAGCCAAATGTTGACCCAATTAATCAACCCTCCCCAACCCACACACGGAGAGTAAGCAGAAGAGACAAAAAACACCATTCAAATTCGGCATTATTTATTTACCATTTAGCACTGGGGATCCTGGTGTATTTCACTTTACAGTTTACCGTAATTTTTTTTCCCATTTTTTACAGTTTACTAATTGCTTAGCTGCAAAACTTGTCTCTGGAAAAGAAAGGGAATGAGAGCAGAAGTGGAGACTTTGTAAAGAAAGTGAACAGGGATCCTACAGGATCCAGCTATAGGTCCTGAAAGCTCACAGCACCCTACCAGGGAGGACTCAGACAGAACCCTCCTCCATCAGGAATAAACTGGAGCCCAAGGAGATTAAGGAATCCGATGGGGACCAAGTGACCTGTCTACATGAAAGCCACCAGATAAGTGCTTCTACTCCCTGCATTCAGCCTGTCTTCAGCTTTACAGATCTGCACGGGTCCTGATTTCTGTCATCTGTCGCGATGGCAGTGAATGAGTGCAGAGATTTCAAGTAGAGAAATCCCCAACAAGAAATGACAAGGGACAGTATCAGGGATCAACAAAGTTTTACTTTGTAAATAACTTGAGATTGGATAATTCTTCATTCCCAGGCACAAGTGGCCCTTACTCACAACTATATATCCAGTTCCTCTCTTGGACTCAAGTGGCTGTACCCGTGGGGAGCCACTCTTGGAGCCCACTGTGCAGGGCAGCTGGAAGTCACGTGGAGAGGACGCTTCCACAGACCCTGCAGCGCAGTGACAGGAGGGCAGGGCAGCACGGGGGGCGCAGCCCCTCACGAGGCCGCTCCTTCGTAGCTCCTGGTTGTTGGACCCTGCATCAGCCCTGCGAGCCCCTGGCATCCTCTCCAGAGCCCTGTAAATCAGCCCTCGGACCGGCCTGTCACTATTAGTCAGTGCTGAAGGGCAGCAGCACCACCTCTGTGACCCGATGCTCTGCCGCTGCTGCTAGGTCACCTGCGTAGAGTTATGATTTTAAAAAAACAAGTAAACCAGACGATATGACTCCTGGGTCAATATTGATCTGCCCCTTCCCAAATGAACTAAGATTAAAACCAAATAACAGAAAGAATTAGCCTTTGGATCATGTGGCAATTTATCATGTGTTTAAAAAGATTTTATTTTATTTTATTTTTTCGCCTCCCTCCTTTTCCATTCAATGTGCCATCTGTCAAATGGAGAATTTTTGAGGAAGAGATCAAGATCACGCATGGGTGGAATATAAACGCAAGCAATAGAAAAGATGACAGAGTTTTAAAAGCTTTTTTCCTAATTACAGAAACAACGTACATGTGGCTTAAAAAGCCATTCAAACAACAAACAAAAAGTCACTCACAAGCCCAGCACTGAAGAAAGCCAGGGTTCCTGGTTGGGGTTGAGTTTATCTTTCCTAAGGGGTGGTTTGAGAGAAGCCCAGCCAAGATGATGTTTTCTGGTTGGGACATGACCCTGCAGGTCCCACTGGCCTGTAAGTGGGCATTGCAGCAAAGAAACCCTGGAGTGGCTGGTTCTCAAAGGGGGATTGCAATATTTGAAAAGTATTTACATTTACTTTAAGTGGATGTGCAATCACCCTTCCCAAAAGACCACAATTGTGACTGTCAATTATTTTAAATTGTCCTAAGTCGTGATAATTGACACTTAGGATCTGTTGAATTCCAGCAGAAGATGCCAAGTTGCAGAATTATTTACAGATACACAATTTCTATTTCAGTGACCCCAACCCCTCAAGGAGATTTAATGCCCTCCTCTTGCTCAGATGCAAAGACCCTAGCCCTGTGCTCACTGCCCGATCAACATTTGCTGATGGAATGACCAATTGGATACATGGAAGAAGAAATGACCCGCAAGCGCATTCGCATAGATGTGGGCAATTCCAAATACACCACACCAGACCCCCTTGAAGGGCAAATTAAGTTCAGTTGAACACGATTTGAATGGGATTTTTAAAAACTTTCTTCTTAGAGACCAGAAAATCACGGTTGCTAATTTAATAACTATAACTATTCTTGCTATGAGATCCCAAGAGCTCTTGGTGATTTGCAAGCTATTTCCTAGGTCAAGTGTGCATCAGCTGTCAGCCAGCCTGGGCGGTATATTGACAAAATGACAGTGTGGTTGGAAGTCCTGGCTTCGACTCTGTGACTGTGACTCCATCAGCATTACTTGGGGTTTGACTGGTTTTGTTTTGCCCTGATCTATTTTCTTTTAGTCCCTTGTCTTCATCCCATTCCAATTTTCAGGAGATATAAAATTGACTGTCACATAACCTTATGGTATTATGAATTAGTTTTCCTAGGAGGAGGCCTCTCTGTGATCCAATACCGAATAGCATCATTTCGTGTCCGCAGTGACTTGCAATGCCTTCCAAAGTCTCAGGCACCACCGCTCTACCGACTGTCTCTCTTAAAAAAAAAAAATTAGGCTTTGACAAACAGGCCAGGCTTTTCTTGAAGAGTATGAACCTATTGGCATAGCCAGTGGGCTATTCCTTTTTAAAAATATTTATTTTACTTAATTTTTTTTTTTTTTTTTGAGACAGAGTCTCACTTTGTTGCCCTGGCTAGAGTGAGTGCCGTGGCATCAGCCTAGTTCACAGCAACCTCAAACGCCTGGGCTCAAGCAATCCTCTGCCTCAGCCTCCCAAGTAGCTGGGACTACAGGCATGTGCCACCATGCCTGGCTAATTTTTTTTATATATTTTTAGTTGTCCAAATCA